ACCAGTATGGCTATGGCGTTCAAGCAAATAACGTTGAAGACACCAGTACTCAAAGGAGAAGGGGTAGATCGCGAAAGAAGACAAAGATAATAGGCCAGCAGGGGGACCCACCTATTGAAATGGATTATGACTCGATTTTGTTCAGCTTTCTAGAATCGTTTAAGCTGACCCAAGTAGAAGCTTCCAAAAAAGCCGATGGTGATAAGGACCTTGTTGGACGCATACTGTTGGTTTATGATTTGTTCAGAAGGAAAATGACCCAAATTGAAGAGGTGAAAGATCCAACTCCAGGATCCTCCAGGCGCCCAGACTTGAAGGCCGGTACGATGATGATGACAAAAGGGGCCCGCACGAATCAGACAAAGAGAGTTGGCAATGTGTCCGGGATAGAAGTTGGTGACATCTTCTTTTTCCGGATGGAGTTATGTGTGGTGGGGTTACATGCCCCTACCATGGCTGGGATCGATTATATGAGTGTCAAGCTGTCTGCAGATGATGAGCCTCTTTCTTTAAGCATAGTCTCATCCGGAGGTTATGATGATGAGGGGGATGATGGGGAGGTGCTAATTTACACTGGTCAAGGTGGAGTGCAGAGAAGGGACGGACAGATGTTTGATCAGAAACTTGAAAGGGGAAATCTTGCTCTTGAGAAGAGTCTCCACCGTTCCAATGAGGTGAGAGTTATTAGGGGCGTGAAGGATCCATGGACCACAGGTAAAATTTATCTCTATGATGGCTTATACAAAATTCAAGAGTCATGGGCAGAGAAGAACAAATCTGGATGCAATATTTTCAAGTACAAATTGGTCAGAATACCTGGACAACCTGAGGCTTATGTCTTGTGGAAATCAATTCAGCAATGGAAGGATGGTATTAGCACAAGAACTGGGGTCATCCTGCCTGACCTAACTTCTGGTGCAGAGAGTCAACAAGTTTCTCTGGTCAATGACGTTGATAACGAGAAGGGTCCCGCTTATTTCACTTACATCCCAACTCTTAAAAATCCAAAACCCTACGACATGCCTAGTCCTTCTTTGAGCTGTCATTGTGTTGGTGGCTGCCAACCTGGACACTCTAACTGCTCGTGCATCCAGAGAAACGGAGGCTATCTGCCGTATAATGCTCTCGGGGTTCTTTTAACCTTCAACAGTATGATACACGAATGTTGTTCGTCTTGTCCATGCCCTTCCAATTGCCGAAACCGAATGTCTCAAGCGGGTCTTAGGGTCCGACTTGAGGTTTTCAAAACAAAGAACAGAGGTTGGGGACTGCGGTCATGGGATCCAATCCGTGGTGGCTGTTTTATCTGTGAGTATGCTGGAGAAGTCATTGATGACTTTGGAAGTGACAGGGAAGACAATTATATATTTGATGCCTCCAGGACCTATCAGACACTGGAAAATTTGCATGATGAGAATGGGAACTCTGAAAAGGTCCCGTTTCCTCTGGTTATCAGTGCGAAAAACCATGGAAATGTTGCTCGATTCATGAACCACAGTTGTTCACCAAATGTGTCCTGGCAGCCGGTTGTGCGTGGCAGTAACAATGAAGCTTTTTACCATGTTGCTTTTTTTGCGACTAGACATATACCTCCCATGCAGGAATTAACCTTTGATTATGGGATGGTTCAGTCTGATAAAGCAGCACAGATGAGGAAGAAGTGCTTGTGCGGTTCGTTAAATTGCAGAGGATATTTTTATTAGTGGCCAACATGGAGTGTTTGTTTCCACATCCAGTATGACATCTGTCCTCTGGTAAAGGTCAGTAACCTCTATTTTTTCTGCTTGTGCAAGTCCAAAGATTTAATCTGATCATTTATGTAACTTCTCAGTGCCTTGTGTATGTAAACCTGCAGCATGTTCTTTGCACGTGAATTATTCATGTTATAACTTATAAATATAAATTAGCACGATATAAATATAAAAAACAATAATAAGTTTATTGCATAAAGATTAAAGTTCCAGTATTCAATAAAAGATACTCACTCCATTCCACAAAGTAAGATTCACTTTAGGCCTGTGTTTTAAGATAATAAAGGATATAATCGTTCTTTTACTATTCTAACCTCCAAAGAGCAAAAAACAAAAATAGTATGGGTTCACAAAAAGAAAAAAGTTGAAATAGTATACAACAACAACCAAGCCTTATTTCCAAAAGAGATTGGGATAAAAAAAAAGGTGAATTGATATATAAAGGGATATCGTGGGAAAGTAAAAAAAGAGTTCAATTTAGGAAAATGTTTATGTTAAATCTTTCTTTGATAGTTGGTGTATTTTTATCTTGATGAAACATAGTGTTGCTCCTATAATCATGATCATCATTAACTCAGTGCTGCAACGACTCCCAGATGCAGTGGGGGGGGGGGGGGGGGTTGATGCACACAGGCTTACCCCTGTACTAAAGCAATCAGAAAGAAGAGAGTGGACTTGGTTCTATTATATTTGATCTTTCATTAGCATATAAGTATTACCACCTCCTTTAGCCATGGTGAAATTCTCTATATGCTTGCGTGTAATTAGTGGAAAATATAAATCGCAGACCTGATGTGTGCACTGGAAAATTTAGAGAGAAGTAAAAGTCAAAAACAACAGTGTGCTTACTAGTTACTACTATAAAATATATATCCATAGAAGTATTAGTATCTCCATTAGTTGGGGTTAAATTTGTTTAGAGAAAATTGCTAGCAATATGACCAAAAGAGGTGGTGATTCCTAAAATATGACTAACTAGTTTTTTATGCTTTAATTAATGGTATCTTGCATGTATGATACTTCTTTTGATGTTATTTTTTCTCCCTTCAATTTATTTCTCATATAAAGGCATACTTATGTTTGGTGGTCATATATTAGGAATCCGTCAATTTTTTAGTCATATATAGATAAATTTCCCATTAGTTTATAAGCGTATGTGTAATTTAATTGGAAATATAAATCCTACCCAAAAAATCAGCATCACTTTGTCAGCTTTTTGAGTTGTAAATCTGAAAAATCACTTTTTAGACTATTGACAAAGGCTGCGTCAGTTTAGTTGCTGACATGCAGACTGCACTTGGGCTTTTAGGTCCCTTTAAGGTTGAGGATGGTGTAAATGTGATGTGCTTTTTTAGACAGCCTCAAGGTTGTGATACTCTAGGCACACATTTAATTGTAAAATAAGCAATTGTTGTTAATTTTTTTTTTATAATCATACTCAAATTCAATTTTTTCTGCGTTATAATAGGACTGCTAGTGCACTGTAAAAGTTTGTAAATTTTAATCACTGACATTTAATAAAAGATTAAATGAGAATAACTTTAACTTCAGCCACATCTCAGAATTCGGTATAGCTCTATTGTTTATGCTTGGAGATTACTTGTTAAGATGCTCTGTATTACTGTATCCATGATCTTCATTCATAAAGAAGATATAATTGCTGACAATGTTGTTATTTCTAACTATTAACAGATGATGGGGATGAAATTCCAAGAATGCCCTGATCGCCTGCCATCGGGTTGTTGTACTATGTAGCTCTAGCAGTAGTACTTTTTGTTTCTGGGGGTAGTCTGACCAGAACTATGTTGTAGTGCCCGTTGTACCAATTATATTACTAATTATATATTGTATGGTGTATCGGAGTCTTCGGAGACCTAGCCTCTTATGGTTGACTTTCTCTTTGATGCCTTGACTTTTCAATTTATCTCTTCATTTTCCGTTAGGATTTGTATGAATTTTCCTGATTTTGGGGTATGTTAAGCTTTTTCCGACTTCAGCTTATTTTACCCTAATCAAGGGGTTGGTTGCCCTTCCTAATACTTTTGTTGACCGAATAATTTAATTTAATATCTTGGTATACATGTATTTGCAAACGCCTCCTATTTTGTCTGTCAAGACAATTTCCAAAATTTCTTGATTGTTTGGACGAATTGCCTGTACATAAACGTGTGAAAAAATGTGTATAAAAGTAATTTTGTTCAATTTTAACGGTAGATTTATCAAATGCTTGATTTTGCGTGTTATTGGACAAGTTTTACATATTTTAAAGAAATTGATAGCTAAAAAAGAGAACACGTCTGGTTGTGAATAAAGTGTGTTGTGAATAATAAAAAACTTTCAAGAAAGTGCTTAAGTTTGATATGATCTAGTCGGGCATGAATATGTCTTGTTGGGTCTATTGATCTAGTCTGAGCTGGTTCAAGTGTACTTTGATTTGATTCGATTTGCAATTCAGCAATCTTGAGTCAGTATAGATACTTTAGTGAACCCTATTTATATGCTTGAGTTCACCTTTTCACCTTCTTCTGGAGTTCCGGGTTCGAATTTGGCAGCAGCACTATGAAATATTTCATTTAAGTGTCAATGGAGTGAAATCAAATTCAAGTTACCAGTATACTACTCCGTATTATGTCGAGTTGGAGACTCGGATTGCTGCGGCATAGGATGGAGAACCCATCCTAACACCAAAAACATTCACCTGAGTGATCACACTTGGTATATTCAACAATATTTTTGAGGGTGAATTAAAATGTTTGTAGTATTTCTCACTGATGTTTTCCCTTTTTTAAGTTTTACAATACACATTAATGAGACAATTTTAATTTATTAAAAGGGAGAAAGACCAAAAATGACACTAAGGGTTTTAGCGAATCTTGGATTAGACACTAAGGACATGTTTACTTCACGTTTATTATACTGTTAGGTAACTAATACGTGTGAAGTAAACAAGTTGAGCGGGTAACATTACGTTTAATAAGAGGGTGCACCGTTTATATGCCTGCTTAATAACAAAAATTCCTTTTGTACACGTTTTTGTACCCATCAGTACACGCATGTGTCTGTGAGAGTTTTTTTTTGTCTGTGAAGTGCGGTCCACAGACAAAAGCTGGTTTGTTTTGTCTGTGAAATTTTCCACAGACAAAACAAGCGAACTTATGTCTGTGGACCGCGCTTCACAGACAAAAAAAAACTCTCACAGACACATGCGTGTACTGATGGGTACAAAAACGTGTACACCAAGAATGGTTGGCTTAATAAACTTCCGCACCCCATGTATTATTTAGCCGGTGTGTTAAGCTCTTTTATATTGGACATCTTACCCTTCCGCACCCCCATTCCGCGGTCCGATCCTTTATCATTTCATAACCTATCTCTTCCAACTTTTTTGCCGACACCTTATCATTCTCTTCCTCCTGCTAAAGCAACGCCATCGTCCATCGCAGGTATTGTTTATCACAGAAAGTAGAAATCAGCATCCATCGCAGGTATCGTTCATCAGAGAAAATAGAAATCAATTGTGAACACATCCAAAAAATCTGCTCTCCATTAAGGAAGAACAGTGTTTTTTCAAAACCCACTAAAAACAAATTAATGAGTTAGAAAGTAGAGTTAATGGATTTTGAAAATTACCCATTCTTTGCTCCTGAACTCCTTAATCGCAGCTTTGCAATATAAATTGACAGAGAATTCCTTCAAGGATGATAAGGGGCGACGAAGGCTTCTGGGTTACAGAGTGTTAGTTAAGTCGAAGGTTATTTTTGACCTTTTACTGTTAATATTTATCTTAATCCACTTGAAGTAAACGTATATTTGTGTTACTAAACAAAATATCATATTGAACTATTGAAGTAAACATGTGTTTATTAAACACTTCTTATTAAGAATGGCTTACTAAAACAATGTTTAATAGGCACCGCTTATTACACTTACTTTGAAGTAAACATGTCCTAAGGTTTTAAGTAGATCAAATAAACACAAAATTATAGTTTTTGGGTCCATTTTGACCACTCTTTAACGCTAACCCTTCCCCATCGTTAGCTCCCCATCCGATTAAACCTGAGAACAATGGAGGTCGATCGGCATCGCCCTGTGTAGAAGAATACCTCCGGGTCACCGCCTTATCGTCGCACTGCCTCGCCGTCGAAGCCGCCGCCGCGTCAAAGCCTACCCATTATCCATCGCAGGCTTCAGCATCACAAAATCGTGACATCATCGAAGTTACCTACCGCCGTTCAATCTGGAGCATCTCGTCAGCAGCTTGGGGTGAGCGACAGTGCGGTTGTAGGCAGCGGCAATAGGCGATGGGACAGCGTTGGGCTGGTGACGAGGGCTACGAGACTGAGAGGGGGGTTGCGGTGGGGCTGTAGCTAGGGCCGGGGTTGGGGTTGGTTTGGGAGGCTGGGGATGGGTGGTCCGAGCTCGGGCTAGGGAGGTGCGGATCGGGGTTTGGCTGCTCAGATCTAGAGCTGGGGAGGTGGCAAGGGCGGGACATGGGTTGCGGTTGGGGATCGGAGGGGCAGGGGCTAGTGTTGGGGTCGATTGCAAGGGGGCTTTTGGAATGTAGAGTTAACGACGATGAAGGCTCCTTTAAGTCTTTAACGGAGACGTTAAAGTGTGGTCAAAATGTACCCAAAAGGCAAAAACTATAATTTTGTGTTTATTTGGTCTGCTAAGCTAAAAACCTAAGTGTCTAATCCGAGATTCGTTCAAAATCTTAGTGTCAATTTTGGTCTTTCTCCCTTATTAAAATCATGTCCATACAAATGTTTTATATAAGGACGTGTGAATTATGGAATTATAGGTATATATAAAAAGGGGATCAATTTATGTTATGTACGATAGATAGTATATGCTTGACTAGTTTGAATTTGATCACTTGAGATTGAGATATACTTGAACAAAACTTAGGAAGTACTACGTACATCGTATGTTTAAATAGATTTAAAGCTTTAGGATCATTTGGAGTGGTGTAGATGTCAAATGTTGAAAATAGACTCCATCCATATTAAAACAGTGTTTAAACTCATATTTTACGACATCAGCACCGTCAATAACATACATTCAACATAGTTTTTACATATCAATTTAGTAAAGCATTAATTAAACTATTATAAATAATGTTTTCCTTTTAATTTTCCTCCAGAATAATTATGAAATAAAAAATACATATTTTGATGTAAAACTAAATATATTTCATTAATTGTTTTTAACATGACATCATCTGCATCAAAAGATAACGTGACAACCCACTCTTTCTTTTATTTTTTCCTGATTTCCCCTTTTTCCAATTCTCTAAACTTTCCCTCTATATTTAACTCCTTCCATCCCCTTTCCCACTTTTAGTACCCCTTTATACTCCCACTACACACATTTAGCAGTCCAAAAGCCCCACATTTAACGTTTTGGAGTTTAATACCTCATCACTCCAAATAATGTAAAGAGGTTAAGAAAAAAACTAAAACGTAACTCCAAAAGTATAAAAAAAATTGAACCCTTTGGACCCTCATCTATTCGGAAAACATGACATAAGTTTCACTAAACTAGCATAAATTATCGTAACACCAACTTCATTAACATACTAGTTCAAGCCTAAACACACATATACATAATATATATACTATTTCTGTTCCTTAAAATTTCGCAAAATTTGACTAACACGTAGAATAATAAAGTAAAGAATGTGTAGTCGGGATTCCTGGATAGGAAAGAGAAAAAAATAAGAATCACAAATCAATTGATTAATAGAAAAAAAGGTAAAGTTTTGAGGAAACCTAAAAATGAAAAGATGATAAAACTATAAGGAATGGAGGGAGTATATTGGGGTTGAGGAGGCAACAACCTCCACGCCCTTGTTTAAGATTCTCCTCATATGGATGATATTTGGTTCAAGTAACTATGAACTTGATATGATTTTCTTAAATGATGATTCTCTAGTTCAGGGTTAGTTTGAGTGGTCCAAGAGTGCGTTCACTCTCAAACTTTTGTTGGGAACATTGCAGTGCTTGATCTATTAAAGAAGGTTCCCTCGAAATTGTGATGAGAATCTGATGAGTACACATAAAATCATTAAGTTTATCACTAAAAGTTATTTCTTGTGCGTGATAACATATAGACTAACAGTGAGAACTTAATGGATTCTTTAAGGGTAAAGCATATGTGTAGGTTCTGTGCAGGCGCAACAGAAAACCTGCAACAAGGAGAAGAGGGGGTTGGAAAAAAAATCAATACCAATGCCTCTACAACTGGTTTGTGTTGTGGCATTGGTTGGGTTGTCAGAGATGAGTTTGGGAGTTTTTTTAGTAAGTGGAGCTAATATTTGGTGGGGGTAAGTGTACTCCTTTGGAACTTGGAAGTTGAAGTACCGGGGAGTCAGGAAGTTTTGGGATTCATTGCAAATTAAGATGAGCTGGTTGAAGAATCAAAATTGGGATTCAATGCAAATTTGACTTGAATCTGTTGAAATTTATGAAGTTCTGGCTAAATTGGCTGATTCTGCTGATTTATGAAAAAATCATATTTAAAATATGTTTTGTTCATAAAATGAAATAAAAATCAAATGAAAAAATAAAACATAGAAAAATTAATTCAACCTTACTTTTTCTTACGAAGTATTATTATACAATTCAGCATTCGAAATAAAAAATTAAGTGAAAACCAGAGTTAACAATGGCCCAATGCTAAATCATTTTCTACCAAAAATTTCAAATGCCCAAAATGGCCATGCAAAACGGCACGCCACGTGTCATATGATATTGTACACATTAGAGATTTCTTTGGATGACGAGATTAGATCAACCAATATGCATACACAAATATATGCTGTCCACACAGCCATAGCTCTCTGCTCAAACTACTCCAACACTGTCCAGAAGAAGAAAAGTGGCAGCAGACATGGCCTTAGTAAAACCCATACTGAAATTTTGTCCCTCCGGCACTCCACGGCCGAGCAGCTGCCGGAAACCGCCGCTCTTCAGCGTGAGAATGTCGAGCACCGCCACATCGGCGAAGAAGGCCGCCGGGAAGCAGGCGATCAAGGAATCCCTCCTGACGCCGAGATTCTACACGACGGACTTCGAGGAAATGGAGAGGCTCTTCAACACGGAGATTAACAAAAATCTGAAGGAGGATGAGTTCGTGTCGCTGCTTCAGGAGTTCAAGACGGACTACAATCAGACCCATTTCGTGAGGAACAAGGAATTCAAGGAGGCCGCCGACAAGCTTCAGGGTCCTCTCCGGCAGATATTCGTGGAGTTCTTAGAGAGGTCCTGCACTGCCGAGTTCTCTGGTTTCCTTCTCTACAAAGAGCTCAGTAGAAGGCTCAAGGTATCTTCTTCAAAAACTTGCTTTTTTCCCATTAACACTACTAATCGAAATGTACTAATTAGATGTAGAAGAGTGTTTAACATTTGCTATGCTATATAAACGGTTAGATAATTTTGGGTCCTTGCTAAATCAAGACAGAGCGTCAGTTAGGGTAATTTGGGTCTGTTTGGTATCAGTAGATAAAAGCTATCTTAAAGCTCCCTAATTGCTGAAAACATGGGGACTTAAGATTTCATCTTAACTCTTCATTTGGATAGAGTTAACTTAAGTAAATTGTTGAACTTAAACCTAGATTTAGTAAAAAATTGATCCTAGGTGAATAAGGTGGATATATATAAATATTGTTTGGGTAACTATGAAGGTAATGTTGTAATGCACATGAATGCATATTTTTTATTTTATTTGGATGGAGGTTAAGCTAAATGGATATATGATGTTATTTGTAAATCAAAGTTAACCTCTTAAAAACTTTTATTCAGAGGTTAACCTAAGCTTGATTATTGAAGATCATCGGAAGTAATTTGAGCTAAACATAAATATACGAAAACAGAGGTTGTTTCTGTGAAATGGCACACAGACAGGGTGAACCCAAAAATAAACCTAGAAATATATAGTGTCAAACAGAAACAGAAACATACTATATAAGTTCATGAGAGTATTCTAATGCCTTTATGTGTGAGTTTGCATTTTATATTTGGTGTATGATAACTTAGATGGAAGGAAAGCCCTTAATAAGGATATATCATCTGGGGAAGATGTAATTAATTGGTGTGAAAAGTGTTATGTAACATTAGTACTTGACTACTTGTTATGTAAAAAGACAACCATTATACGTATGTACTCTATATCCATTATAGATGGACAAAGGTATAACTTTTGTAATAAAAGAATAAGGTTATAAGTGGAAACAAGTTAAATTATAGGAACTTATTTTGAAAAGCTGTAGGAGATAGTTTGTCAAACAAGTATTTTAAGCTATTTTAATATCAACCAAACACGCAGTTAGAATATAAGCTCTAGGTTCCAATATAAGCTCTATCAACCAGACACTTATATAAGTCGTGATTCCGTGAATAACGAAGAGTGTCCAATCATGAACTCTTTAAACCTAATTATAACTGAACTATTTGAGAAATTTTGTTCTAGTGTGTGGATGATAAAAAATGTTCTGTTGCTTTCTAATAACCTGGCAAAGTTTGCCCCTTAAATCTTGACCGTTGAGCTTTGGAAGATATTCCACGCGCGGATGTATTTGATAAACTCACTCTTAAAATAAGCTAAAAATCAAATAAAAACCAGTGCAGTATAACTGCTAACTAACACTGTTTGGATATGTTTCTTGCAGAAAACAAACCCTATTGTAGCAGAGATATTTTCTCTCATGTCTAGGGATGAAGCTCGCCATGCTGGGTATACATTTATATATGCTCTCTGTACTTTATTAGAGAGTTAGAAGTCCTCAGAAGTTGAGGTAAATGCTTGTTTTTGTCAATTTGAAATGTGCAGTTTCTTAAACAAGGGATTGGCCGACTTCAACTTGGCATTGGACCTGGGCTTCCTGACTAAGGCCAGAAAATACACATTTTTCAAGCCCAAATTCATCTTCTACGCAACATACTTGTCTGAGAAAATTGGGTACTGGAGATACATTACCATATATAGACACCTGAAAGCAAATCCGGAATATACGTGTTACCCGATTTTCAATTACTTCGAGAACTGGTGCCAGGATGAGAATCGCCATGGCGACTTTTTCTCTGCTTTGATGAAAGCTCAACCTCAGTTCCTCAATGACTGGAAGGCGAAATTATGGGCCCGCTTCTTTTGCCTTTCGGTAAGTCTTAAAGGGATGGTTTTGTGTACTTTGGCTAATAATGTCTTTATTTGCAGTACAACAGATGGACTGTGAAGCCTTATTCTATATTTTGTTAAGCCGTCCATCAGAAAAATACAAAAGTATGGGGATAAGGGTCAGTTTGGTCCTCGAAGTTGCAAAAAAGGGGTCAAATAAGTCCTTATATAGAAAATTCTGTCTGGACGTGCCATTTGAGGTGGCTCCCGGTGGAAGTTTTTGATTAAATTTTTTGAGCATCGTATTCATTAAGTCTAGTTTACTCATAGCAAATTTCAAATAAAAATTCAATCGGGAAGACATTCAAATGAATTTTAGAAGATAATTGTGCCATTAAAAGCGCAGTTATCTTCAAGAATTCATTTGAATGTCTCCCCGATTGAATTTTTAGCTGAAATTTGTTATGAGTAAACTAGACTTAATGAATAAGATGCTCAAAAAATTTCATCAAAAAATTCTACCGGGAGCCACCTCAAATGGCACGTCCGGACACAATCTTCTATATAAGGACTTATTTGACTCCTTTTTTGCAACTTCGAGGACCAAACTGATCCTTTACTCCAAAAGTATGCATTCACGTGTATGATTTTAGACTACTATTAGGTTGACATTTAAGAATGAAACTCCAAATCTAAGTATAGTTTAGAGCCAATGAAGTTCAAACAAGCATTTGATCGCACTAAAACTTAAATAGAACACACAAATATGTTAAGTAATCACATACCGACCAAATACGAAGTCACATGTAGGGTATTATTCCTCCCTTTGAGTTATATTGTATGATAGAAATCAAATAATTTTAAGGTTGTGACTTGATGTCCTGCTCTTTTATGTTGTTGGGCATATTTGAAATTGTAATTTGAAAATTTCCTTGCATTGTGTAGGTTTACGTGACTATGTATCTCAATGACTGCCAGAGGAGTGCTTTCTATGAAGGCATTGGCCTTAACACAAAAGAATTTGATATGCATGTCATCATTGAGGTAAGTTATTTTACCTATCTTTCTGTGGCGTTGTGCATTATTTCAACATTTTGTTGTTTGTGCAGTATTCAGTTTATCAATATCATTAGCTTTGCATCTTGAAAAGACAGTATAGATCGTTTATGGCTTTTCCTAAACTTTTGACCCTTACATCTCATTGGACATTATGTTTACTGTGCTTATTAGCCATTTCAACACAAAAAACAGGATCATATAATCATATTAACATACAGTAATGTAGTTTACTGTGCACGCTGTGTTCAATAATGAAAACTAGGAGTGAAAATGTCAATCAAACATTTAGCTTTATATACTACTACTAGTATTTTATTTATTTCATTAATAAAGTGTTTCTTTCAATAATTCAACAAGTTCAATTACTAAGTGAACTTGCTTCAATTTCAGAAACTTTGTCCATCTTAACCCTTACCAAATAGGCTTTTGGGTTGTTTTTAGTTGAACTTATAATTTTATGCGGAGTTTCCTACGTAGTACTATCGTATTATTTAAGTCTGGTATGGTTAAGTTTGATTTTTGACTGAAACCAATTCAAGTGAAAATATCCTTAGACAGTTAGACTCTTAGTTATATTGGTATTCCCATTGCAAGTAGCTATAAGTCAGCCATGCCATTTGGTATCATCCTTGCTAGGCAAAAGACAATATTGAGATTCAGTATCTTTGGAACTGTCTTTAATTGTGTTGGATTGGATGCAGACGAACCGAACAACAGCTAGAATATTCCCGGCTGTACTAGACGTGGAGAACCCGGAGTTCAAGAGGAAGTTGGACAGAATGGTGGAGATCAACCAAAAGCTGATCGCAGTCGGGGAGAGCAGTGACCTTCCCGTGGTGAAGAATCTGAAGAGAATCCCTCTCGTTGCTGCCCTTGCTTCTGAGCTGTTCGCTGCCTATCTCATGAAACCTGTTGATTCTGGTTCCGTTGACCTTGCTGACTTCGAAACCCAGCTCGTTTACTGAATGAAGACTGCTCTCCTCTTCTTTAATTCTTGCGAAAACACTATTCACGATTGTGTATAATCATCGTTTCTATTTGGCTGAATTAATTAATTCTCGTGGTCTCCCCTGATTGTCTCGACTTTTGGCTTAAAAAACAAAAAATAATGTTTTTAAATGACAACTTCTATTTAAAAAAGTGTTTATCGGCTTTTGTGCAAAAAATGTTTTTTATTTTTTCTATTACACAAAAAGCACTTATTTTGCAAACACTATCAACTTCTATTTTTCAAATCACTTTTTTCTCAAACACTATTAACTTTTATTATTAAACATTTTTTCCAAAATCACTTTCAAAAGTGTTTTTCTTTTAAGCAGAAGCAGTTACAAACATACCTAAGAATGATGAGAAGTTCTATTCTTAGTGTATTCTCACTTTATTCTTACTTATTTCTTAGTAATTGCGTCATTACTAGAACGGAGGTAGTACTAAAGCTCCATGTAAAGGTGCAAACTAAGTTCGAAAATAAAAAAGTTGATATTAAAAATAATGGAAAATGGAATCATCTGTTCTGAATGAACGCTGAAACGACAAATGATAGAGGCAAACGATGAGATGAAGTCAATTAAAGAAACCTAGTGTATGCTTTTTGAAAGTTGTGTTTCATTTTCTTTCTATAATTCTAGCTAATTCTAATAGTGATTAGAACTAGCTTTTTGACATAGTTCAAATTCGAAATCCATGATTAAGAAGACTAAAAACACTCTCAAAAGGGCCAATCTTCCGAATTACTCCAAGAAAATTTGTCACGTCAATCTTTTAGCACTCTTAAGACAATCTTTAACCTTGATTCTATTCATTTTTCTGACTGCATTTTTTAATACAAAAATGCAAAGAAACATATAAAGTCACTTTTTCTAAAAAGAAATTCAAGTTTTAATATGGTATGCAAGACTTAAAAAGGTCGATCTAATAGGAAGAACCGAAGAATAGGTAAATAAGACGATGACTCGTTGACTGATGTTGTATCTGTCAAACTTTATATGTTATTTTGCGTTTTTATGTATGGTCGGTATAAGATATTTTATAATTTTCATATTCTAGAAACTTTTTAAAAAGTGAATGGGGAAAATGTCGGTTTTTCTTAAACGAAAATGAGTGTTTGTTTTCTCACATCCCAAATTCATTTTCTTATTTTGATTCTTTAATTTTCTAAAATACTACTCCCTCCGTCCCCTTTCAAATGTCCCGTTTTATCATATTGGGATGTCCCTATTTAATTGCCCCATACCTTATTTGGTAAACTTTGTGTGGCTCAAAATCATTTTTACTGTATTCTTACTTTATCAATTAATATCAACCACACAAACTCACTTTTCTTAAAACTCGTGTCACCATTTTCCGTCCCATTTAAAAGGGGACGGAGGGAGTACTACGTATGATTAAACCATCAAAACAGTATAACATGACTTATATGCTCGTGTCAATTTTCAAAGTGGATTGCGAAACGTTCAATTTTTAAAGTAAAAGATGCACATAGCTTAATTAATGGCGAGTGTGTTGGTGGTATTTTCAATTTACATGTGTGATTGAAGATTAAAGGTGGATTATAATTTCATAATCCTGCTTATCCACATCGACAAGTAGCCTAGGAAGTCAATTAAACCTCTGGTACAAAGGTTGTTCATACGACTATATGCGGTGATGAGATGAGCTATTGTTGGGGAAAATACGACCCCGACCTCTTCCAGGATTATCAGCTCAAAGGACTCTTGTACATTTACTCACTCACTCGTAACACAATGACTCAATCTAACAATAACACTTTGTATTATACAATTGAAATGTACACGGGATATTTTACAAGTAAACGGGTAACTCACATCACTCTTTGCATATGTATATGTGACTACTTCACTCTCACTCTCCTCTCTCAGGGAGGCTCTCCCTCACTCAAGAGCTCTCCTTGAGGCTCCTGTCTTACATCCCACAAGGAGACTCTCTCTCTAGGCCCTCACTCACACGACTCTCATTTAGGAATGAGGAGTCTCACCCCTATTTATACAACTCTTCTCAAAGCTTCTCTAGAACTTTCTATACGTCACTACATTTCTAGATTCTTCCACGAACTATCCACAAGCTTCTCTAATCTTCTAGAAGGATCTAGAGAACTACACATCGCTTGAGAATGTTCTAGATGCTTCCACACACTTTCGCACGATTCTAGAGAATTTCACACTTCTCTAGAAAACTCCAAAATGTTCTAGAATATTCTACACTCTTCCACACGCTTCTAGATAATTCGACGCCTCTCTAGAAAGCTCCGCAATATTCTAAAACATTTAATGTTTCTCTACACACATCTAGAGAATTCTAGACATCTCCGCAGTATTCTAGAATTCTCATTAACTTCTCAATTAAGGAGGGAACCCAACAAATCTTCCCCTACCGACTTAATTGAGAAGTACTCCGTAGTAGTTAACCGCCAATAGCAGCCTCACATTTAGACATAGCAGTCTCCACCTCACATGTGAGTTATCCCCCCCTCAAACAAATCTTGTATCATACCATATGAGCAGCCACCAAGGAATGGTCATGATCTTCTCCGCAACAAGAATTGATCCACCAAACTCTCTTGTACCGCCATTATCTATTAACGGGACACGCCGCCTGATCACCTCAATATCAGGAAGACTTTCGATACAACGCACCAACAGTAGATCAAATCGCAAGACCAAACCATGTGTGTGATGTTCTCAAGAAGATCTCCTCTCCACTGACACTTGATCCGCAATTCATCTTGTACCGCCGTTGTTTACCAACGGGACTCTCCGCCTGACCTCCACAATATCAGGAAGACTTTCGATACAACGCACCACTAGCAGACCAAGACATGAGACCAGACTCAGAACCACACCCACAATACATTCCATCGCTCTTCTCCATATATGTATGACCCAAGCTCCATAGTGAAGTCCATCATCCCATCAAAGAGCACAATCTTGAATGCCTCTGACAACACTGCTACCACCACAGTAAGACGAGATCAATCTCCACAACGAACTCTACCCGTTACTCTACCTCTGGCAACCTGGCTCTGATACCACTGTTGGGGAAAACACGACCTCCCGACCTCTTCCAGTAACACCAGCTCAAAGGACTCTTGTACATTCACTCACTCACTCATAACACAAAGACTCAATCTAACAATAACACTTTGTATTATACAATTGAAATGTACACGAGATATTTTACAAGTAAACGGGTAACTCACATCACTCTTTGCATATGTGACTACTTCACTCTCCTCTCTCAAGGAGGCTCTCCCTCACTCAAGAGCTCTCCTTGAGGCTCCTCTCTTACATCCCTCAAGGAGGCTCTCTCTCTAGGCCCTCACTCACACGGCTCTCATTTAGGAATGAGGAGTCTCACCAGACTAGGAATGAAACGTAACCGGGATTGGAATCGCCCGATCCAGTCTCCAAAACTGGGAACCGGGAACGTGAACAACTCTAGGGAGGGCTGGTGGTCCGGTCCCAGGCCCAAAATCGCTCAAAACAAACATGGTCCAGGCAGAAACAGTGCCTGACCCGTTTCTGGACCTGGTCCACCCTAGTACTTGGCCATGACTACTAGTTCAAACATAAATTTGATTTAAAATGTGCTAGTTTTGAGTTTGTTTTGATATTCTCATGCCCCCTTGAATCGATACTTGTTCTCAAGAGAGTTTGACAAAAAGGAAAAGTGTAGCAAAAATTAATTTCATCCCAAAAATTAAAGCATAGAAAACATTTCAATACAAATGGATAAAATAAAAAACTACTTGCTCTATCAACAGTTGGGGTAAGTAAAATTTACTAATGAAGCTTATATTACTTCAGAGATTAGAATCTAATCCACGAAGACATTTAAATCACGAGAGTAACTGCTCAAGACCATCAGAAATCTACCTGATAGAGTATATGGGCTTGGACCCCATGGCCCACATACTCAACGGCCCAAAAGACACCAGCGTGACACCCGCATCGGCCGTAGGCACGTGACGCCCAAGAGAGAAGATATCGCCTGATTTCTATGGACCGCATCGTCAGTGGACCGCGCCGTCCATGGACCGCATCGTCCATGGACCGCATCGTCCATGGACCGCATCGTCCATGGACCGCATCGTCCATGGACCGCATCGTCCGAACTTCGTCCGGGCAGAATGCATTTTCCTATTTTTTGTACTAAGTGTTGTACTCAGCCCATTAGTGGCCTTATTCGCCCAAAGAAGGCATGATTATTGTAATGGGCCTCCTAAGCCCAAGGCTAGGGGCCCAAATCTACATTTTTACCTATAAATAGACCCCAAGGGGCTAATTATAGGGGATTCTTTCCAATTGGAGAAATATAATTACTCACTTTCTCTCTCTAGCTCTCACTTCTCTCTAGGATTAATACGCTATCATTTGGTGCTCTCGTTGAGAGCTTAGAACAGATCAAGTGAGTACCCTTCGTCGCTACCAGACACTACCACTAGCTATGACAAGGACTAGATCAAAGAACACTGGTAGGAATGCCCCTCTGAACCAGGAGGGGCAGGGAAACGTTGCTGACAACGTCCCCAATGATCTCATCATCCAGGATGAGAATGCTCAGGAGGTCGAGCACGCAGCGGCTGACCTCCGCGTCCAGCTCAACAAGACTGCCCCAGACGCCCGCATCGGGCTCGAGGACAGGCGCAATGCTGATCGCGCTTCGGGCCAGCAGACTTCTCACCCTGCTGCCCCCCAGATCAACCCGGCCGCACTATCGGCCATCGTCGCGAGCATTCTCCAGGACCCCAACGTGGTCAGCGCTCTCGTCGCAAAGACAGGGGAGAACAACACTCCGGCAACTGGAGAGGTCGCAACGGTGCCACCACCGCCACCTCGTCCGCAAGGCGTCACCTTCTTCGGTGACAACGAGGACGTCCTCGCCGTGGACACCCATTCCCACACTGCCTCACCTACCCGGGATACACCGGCCCAACCTCGCGGTAAAATCTCAGCCTTCAACAGGCTGGGTGACATCGCGAGCCGTCGGGTACCTACGGGAGGGGTGGCGGGTCGGTTGGGTGGCCGCGAGCCGGGGTCGCCAAAGGAAAGCTTCGGGTCCGTTTCCCGGACAACGGATCGGCCCCGACCAGACAAAGGAAAGGGAAAACTGAATGATAATGATGCGCGCCATCAGATCAACC